CCAGCACAGCCCATCTGCGCCACCAGCACAGCCCATCTGCGCCACCACCACAGCCCATCTGCGCCACCACCACAGCCCATCTGCGCCACCAGCACAGCCCATCTGCGCCACCAGCACAGCCCATCTGCGCCACCAGCACAGCCCATCTGCGCCACCAGCACAGCCCATCTGCGCCACCAGCACAGCCCATCTGCGCCACCACCACAGCCCATCTGCGCCACCAGCACAGCCCATCTGCGCAACCAGCTCAGCCCGTCTGCGCCACCAGCACAGCCCATCTGCGCCACCAGCACAGCCCATCTGCGCCACCAGCACAGCCCATCTGCGCCACCAGCACAGCCCATCTGCGCCACCAGCACAGCCCATCTGCACCACCAGCACAGCCCATCTGCGCCACCAGCACAGCCCATCTGCGCCACCACCACAGCCCATCTGCGCCACCAGCACAGCCCATCTGCGCCACCAGCACAGCCCATCTGCACCACCAGCACAGCCCATCTGCGCCACCAGCACAGCCCATCTGCGCTACCTGCTACTACATGGCCGACTTACCCCTCGCTCACATCACTGCTCTTCCCTCTGTGAATCCCATGCCACACCCTTCCATCCCATGCCACACCCTTCCATCCCATGCCACACCCTTCCATCCCATGCCACACCCTTCCATCCCATGCCACACCCTTCCATCCCATGCCACACCCTTCCATCCCATGCCACACCCTTCCATCCCATGCCACACCCTTCCATCCCATGCCACACCCTTCCATCCCATGCCACACCCTTCCATCCCATGCCACACCCTTCCATCCCATGCCACACCCTTCCATCCCATGCCACACCCTTCCATCCCATGCCACACCCTTCCATCCCATGCCACACCCTTCCATCCCATGCCACACCCTTCCATCCCATGCCACACCCTTCCATCCCATGCCACACCCTTCCATCCCATGCCACACCCTTCCATCCCATGCCACACCCTTCCATCCCATGCCACACCCTTCCATCCCATGCCACACCCTTCCATCCCATGCCACACCCTTCCATCCCATGCCACACCCGTCCATCCCATGCCACACCCTTCCATCCCATGCCACACCCTTCCATCCCATGCCACACCCTTCCATCCCATGCCACACCCTTCCATCCCATGCCACACCCTTCCATCCCATGCCACACCCTTCCATCCCATGCCACACCCTTCCATCCCATGCCACACCCTTCCATCCCATGCCACACCCTTCCATCCCATGCCACACCCTTCCATCCCATGCCACACCCTTCCATCCCATGCCACACCCTTCCATCCCATGCCACACCCTTCCATCCCATGCCACACCCGTCCATCCCATGCCACACCCTTCCATCCCATGCCACACCCTTCCATCCCTTGCCACACCCTTCCATCCCATGCCACACCCTTCCATCCCATGCCACACCCTTCCATCCCATGCTCCCTTCAGGTCTGCCCTCACTCTTCACACTCATCGCCACCTGCATGGCGAATCTGCACTACCTACAGCTACAACTGAGCCAGCTGTCTCTTACCCCTCTTCCCTTCTCCGCCTTCTACTATCATCACTCCTCACCCCTTCAGGTCTGACATCTCTTTTCACAGTCATCGCCACCTGCATGGCGGATCTGCACTACCTTCACCTGCCCATTGGACCTCCGTCCTGATCTCTACCTCCTTCCATCCCATCCCACCGCACTCCACACCCCGTCAGGGCTGCGGTCACTCTTCACAGTGATCGCCACCAGCATGGCGGACCTGCACTACCTGCAGCCAGCCATCGCAGTCGTGCTCGGCTTTATTGGTTCTAAGATCCTAGCCGAGTTCTGTGGTGAGTGTGTTAGATTAGCATCCTCGTTGTAACCTGCATCTATCATATAAGCTTCGGCTAGAGAAAGACACCCAAATGTAGCTTGGGTGTAGAACTAGGGCTAACCCTAGTTGGGGGTTGGAACTCAACACTTGGCCCAATTATCTGGCCCCCAAGGCTGAGTCGGGAATCATTGCCCCCCCCAATAATGTTGAACCACTTTGGTCAACATTATTGGTCCCCCCAATAACTCCTCAACCCAACTTATTGGTGGGGGCCAATTATGTTGGCTAGGTTCCAACCAAACCCCCATCCTAGCACACCGATGTATACCCACGTTCTTTCCTAATCGGTTCATCTTCTAGATTTCTCACAGAGTGGTGCATTGCCTTGTGGTTGAGTTGTCACTGAGTTCTTGGTGTGATGCAAGAGTAAGACCCATCTGCACTGCCTACCTACACCCGGCCGGCCGTAGCAGTGGTGGTTGAGGTCATCGGCTGCAAGATCCTCGCAGCGTTCTGCGGTGAGTCGTCTCTCCGGGCCATCACACAACATGCCATCAAACACCATGCACCCATCTGCAGCCGGCCATTGCAGTGGTGCTCGGGTTCATCGCCTCCAAGATCCTAGCAGAGTTCTGTGGTGAGTCGTCTTGGCACTACCAGGCTTGCACGTACGACAGATGTTCTGTGGTGACATCGCCGCTGGCAGGAGGACTGTTCACGCTTAGATTCTCCTTTTCCTTCTCTCTCACCCCTTGTGTTCTGCACTGCCCAGCCTGCGCGTACCAACAGAGGTTTCTCTAGGGGTGGTGACATTGCCGCTGGCAGGAGTGTTTACCCTCTCCCTTTCCTCTCTCTCACCCCTTGTGTTCTGCACTGCCAGGCCTGCACGTACCAACGGAGGTCTCGCTAGGGGTGGTGGTGTCACTGATGGCAGCAGGCCTGCCTTTCAGCCTTTGACTCTCCCTCCCCTTCTCTCTCCCCCTTCTCCCCTGCACTACCAGGCCTGCATGTTCCAACAGAGGTCTCGCTAGGTGTGGTGGCGTCGCTGCTGGCAGGAGGAGTGTTCTTCAGCCTTAGATTCCCTCGCACAGAGGGAGATGATAAAGAGGGGTTGTAGGCATGCACAATATTTGATGTCGTCCACCTATCATAGCATTTATACATTTTTTTAAAAGGAAAGGAAGTGTATTGTAGAAGATGCAATCTGCTGTAAGCAGTCAACATTGTATAAGCAATGTTCAAACGGGTGATTCTGCATAAAATTTCGGAAATTACAGTAGCCCTTAGGACGGGTCAAACTTGTAACAATCTGAAGTGGGGTTGTAAGATGGTCACAGGTTGACCGCAAGTCTTGTAGCAGCGGAAGATTGCTAGTGAATGTCGGGTACGGACCTTTAGGAGATTTGAATCTCAACAGAAGCGACTAACAATGCGGTACAAGGGTTTATATAGGAATACAAGGGAATACGAAAGGTTTAGCTAGCCATGTATTCTGAGGGGGTTCATTCTCCTTAGGGCTAACCTACATCGGGAATGGCAACCGTGCGGTTCGGTAGCAATACACGCCACGGTAACTGTTTAAATGCATTCCCGGCGCTTGCTGTAAGGAATTTTCTATACCTTACTGAGTCACACTGTACGCGTACAACCCCAGTCTTCGGAAACCCAGGCTCGGTCCGACGACCCCGCCTTCCGAACCACCATCGCGTCGCCTTCGGGTTTCCCAAACCCGAACCCGCACCCAACCATTTCACGACTCCGCGACGTTGGCCTAGCTAGCATTGCTATATTAGTCCTAGGCCTCGATGTTTGCTCGGACGTTGTAATCACTTCCGCGTTATTAGATTCAGTGCACTCTTCTCTTTCACAACTCATAACACTTGGTATCAAAGCTACTTTCCTAGGTTACCCTCGTGTTTCCGGGGTAGTTTAGTGAAGGGGTGCGATAGACTTGGTGGGCTGCAAAGCGGACAGCCTGTGAAATAGATACGATTATTTCACTCCGACTACTAACCAGCCCCTGCCCGTCCGACGAAGCCTGAGAAACATGTAGCAGGCAGAGTTTGACGCATTACTGCAGGACTTCCGAGCGATGCAGGCCAACATGCAGGCGATGACCGTGGAAATGGAGCGCATGAGGAAGGAAAACGCCGAACTACACCAGCCGAGTGGTGAAGCGCGCCAGGAGTCGCCTGTCGTCGAGGCCGCAAGTAGCAGCTCCACGCCAGATGAGCGGGTCTGGGATGAGCTGGAAGGCTCCATGGATGCGGACGATGCGAGGCAGGCACAGCAGCAACAGTCACCGCAACAGTCGCGTGCGGCGCCAACACGTGCAGCAGCGACAGCTCCGGCGACGCAAGCAGCAGCGCCAATAATCCAAGCAGCAAGCGGCTTTGACAACGGTCAAAATCAAGGTGACAAACGCGCCCCCGTTTAACCCAAGTGACAAGTTCGTCACTGTTTCTGCATGGTTGTTTGGTGTGGAGGTGTTTTTCGATGCTGCTATGATTAATGACGATGCCACCCGCATCAATTTCGCAGTATCACTATTAAGGGGACCTACGCTGGAGTGGTGGCGACGAACGTTGCAAGACGAAGGGACTCTGACAGGACTAGCACGTGCGGACGACGGGACTTCGACACCTGTCACGCAACGAGCAGCTTCAATTTTCGGGACGGCTACGATACGCACATGGAAGGAGTGGGACGCCGCCCTGCGAACCAGGTTCGAGCACATATCCACCTCGGACTCTGCTCGCATGAAGCTGCGTGCCTGGAAGCAGCTGACTTCGGTCCAAGACTACACCAGCACATTCTGCAACTTGGCGGACCAAGTGGACGACATGAGTGATGCGGAGTGGTTGGATCGCTACGTGGCGGGCCTGAAATACGAGATACAGTACGGAGTCCGATGCACGCGGCCACGCAGCTTTAACGACACCGTCCGAGAAGCCGAGTCAAGGGATGCATTGATGCAGGGGGCAAGATCTAGATCCCGGGAGGGCCCTCGATTTCGCGGATCGACTCAGCAGCCCACGATCAACGGCGTGGATGCACCAAGCCGAGCCATCGGGCCGTGCTTTGCGTGCAACCAGCTGGGCCACCTGAGAAAAGACTGCCCGAAGCTTAAGCAGGGGAAGAAGAACGACGGCAAAGGGTCGGGAAAAGATGCGAGTCAGTAGCAGACGTGCGTGCTACTGACGAGACTCTGTCGCCCGACAATCACCATCCACACCGAGTCGTGGTACCGATCAGAGCTATCGATCGCACCCGTACGAATAACGTGGGAGAACACGTGGACTACCCTGTGCTGGTGGTGGGGAGGGTTAACGGTTATAAAATAAAAATATTCGTTGACGGTGGGGCAACTCACAGCCTCGTCAACTTGGCAACGACCAAAAAAATTGGGGTAAAGCTGAACAGGTGTCTGCCGGGGATCAATGCAAGGCTAGTGGATGGGACACCACTAGCCATCTGAGATGAAGTGCGAAAAAATCAGATCAAGTGTGGCGACAATTTCGGCTTCGGCATGAAGATGCTGGCGACGACTTTGGACGGCTGCGACGTGTTGCTGGGGCGAGACTGGCTGCAGAAATACAATCCGACGATTGGCTGGACGACGGGAGCGTGTGCCGTGCGAGGAAATGCATGGCTGACGACGCTTCTGAAATGGACGGACCCAGAGCCGGTGACGACACGTGTCAACGCCACCACCATGCGGCGAGCGATCAACAGTGGGGCCCAGGGCTATGCAGTAGACTTGTACGAGATAGCAACCGCCGAAAAATCGCGGACATCGACACGCTCTGTGCGGCAGTCCCTGAGGAACTGGCGAGCATTATCCGGAAGTATCCCAAAATTTTCGCGGATGACTTGCCCGATGGCCTGCCACCTCAGCGTCCAGAAGACCATCGGATCCAGCTGGAACTCGGTGCGCAGCCTACTGTGCAGACGTAGTGGCGGCTCAGCCAACCAGAGCTCGACGAGCTACGGAGCCAACTGGAGTACCTGCTAGCCAAGGGATTCATACGGCCAAGCACGTCGAAATTTGCAGCACCGATATTGTTCACGCCGAAGAAGGACGGGGGCCTACGCATGTGTATCGATTATCGGGCGCTGAATCGGGTCACGATCAAGCCACGTTATCTGATCCCGCGAGCGGACGACCTGCTGGATCAACTTCGCGGGGCCAGCTTCTTCTCGAAGATCGACTTGCGAGGAGGCTACCACCAAATTCGCGTGTTTGCCGACAACTGCCCGAAGACAGCTTTTCGCACACGCTACGGCAGTTACGAATATACAGTGATCCTTTCGGACTGACAAACGCGCCTTCGACATTCCAGCTCATGATGAACGGGATTTTCTGGGACATGCTGGACCTAAAAGTCATCATGTATCTCAACGACATCCTGGTGTACAACAAAACAAAGGAGGAGCATTCACGGGATTCGGAGGAGGTGTTCCGGTGCTTACAGGGGAACCAGCTGATTACGAAAGGCTCTAAGTGCGAGTTCCTAAAACTGGAGTTGAAGTTTTTGGGACACGTAGTTTTCGGTGACGGCATCACAATTGACCCCCGCAAAGTGGACGCCATCGCTAAGTGGAAGCCGCCGACTAACATCACCGAATTGCAAAGTTTTTTGGGTTTAGTTAACTACGCTCGTCGTTTTGTACCCAACATGGCAGGGATAACCAAGCCGCTGACTGACCTGTTGCACAATGACACGCATTTTCAGTGGGGGGAGTTAGACCAGTCCGCCTTCGACACACTCAAAAACATTTTGAGTTCACCCCCGGTACTCCGCCTCGCCGATCCATCTCGACCGTTCGAGGTTCTATACGGACGCCAGCGATTTTGCTGTCGGCGCCGTCCTGCTACAGGACTTCGGCAAAGGGCTGCAACCCATCGCCTACGAATCACGCAAGATGCAGCCACCCGAGCACAACTACCCAGTCCACGACAAAGAAATGCTGGCCATCGTCCACGCATTTCGTACGTGGCGCTGCTACCTCACGGGAGCCGACGTGACGATTCGAACCGGCCACAAATCGCTACAGTACATGCGCACGCAATCGACACTCAACCTGCGACAAATCCGGTGGTTGGACTACCTCGAGTCCAATTTTTGGTCCACCATCACGTCCACCATCGGTGGTTGGTCCACCATGACACCTCGCGCGGACTTGCTTACTGAACTTGAACCGTCACCGGTTAAGCATGTCACATCGGCTGTTGGGCAACGAGCAGAGGTGAAAGGCATGGGCAAGGCCATGTTCAAGGGTGCTGATGGGAAGATGATGAGCCTCAAGAACGTGCTTTGGGTGCCCAACCTTGCTGCGAACCTGATTTCCGTGCGGCGGTTGGCAAAGGCCGGCATGGACACGAACTCGAAGGGAGCCAAGACCTACACCGTGAGGCTTGGCGAGCGGATTCTTTGGGACCTTCACGAGGATAGGGACGTCTACAACAAGATGTGGCAGATCCCTGTGGTCCCCATGCCTAAGGAGAGGCAAGTGGCAGCAAGCGTAAGCACCAAGGGTGAAGCGGTTGGTAGCGGCGATGGCGCGAACGGTCGCGTTTAGGAGAATGAGTCCAACAAGTGTAATCTTGGAGGGACCAGCAAGCAGTGTTAACCTAAGGAGAGTGGTGCAGCAGCCAAGGAGCAGAAAAAAGGTGAGGAGAACCCCGAGGCAGCAGCGGAGGAGTATGGAGAGAGCATGTGGGGCGCTATTGCGAGCGCGGCATTCTCCAATCCGACTTCGGCTACGGGGGAGTGTGATTGACTCACCTTCCATCGGCAAATGGGGCATGTGGCCCTGCCTATCTTGCAGCAGCTAGTGAAGAATGAGATGGTTGCTGGAAAACGTGTGAAGGGGGAGCCCGATGAGTTGCTTGGCTGCCCGACGTGCATTCAAGCCAAGTTCACCCGGTTTCCATTCCCTAGTTCGGAGGCAACGGCAAAGCACCACTTGATGAGGTGGTGATGGACGTGGTGGCCCCCCTGAAGCTTGGAGCTGCTGGAGTTGAATATTTCCTCACCATTGTGGATGTCTACACCCGCATGACCTGGGTGTACGTGCTGTCCAAGAAGAGCAACGTAGCTGAAACGGTGAAGA